ACCCTTGATGGACATGTGGTTGAAACCCTTGATGGGCTCTTGATGGGTGGCGGTGGAAATCTTGCACGTGGAGCCCATCCTACCAGTTTCGGTCGCACCTGTGCATCAGCCGTGAGGTTGTCCGGGTGGGCACTGCGTGGCCACGCACAGAGTGGAACGTGCCACATGAGGGTTGCCATCCACTCTCCCAAGGGGCGCTCAAGCCATAGACCATTCCGCAGGCGTGTGCACCCCCAGTTCTGCAATAGGGGTAGTGGCCAGGCGTCATATGGCGGGCCGATGTGTGCAGCCAAGCATTTTTTCACCAACACGTACAACTCCAGACGTGACAGCAGTCCGTGTCAAGGAGGCAAAACTCTAAGTAGGGAAAAGGAAGGCGCACATTTTCAACACGAATGCGCCTGCCCAAGTGTACCCTGTCAAGGCCAGTGAAGTCTGAGATTGGCACATGAACCGCAATTGTTTGCTCGCCAAACGGACCCACGAAGTGCGTACATTCCGTTCATCGAAAAAGCTGACAAGCAGGTCACATTTGGGGTGACACATGTGGTCACATGTGGGGTGACACATTTGGGGTGACACATTTACAAGGAAAGTTGAAATCGGAATGCTTCAAAGGCCAAGTAGATTGATGTGACACACACACACAAGGGAACCACAAACTACGCCCCACACCCACACCCAAGTCTGAATGTGTCGACCGCTCACCCACTCTGAGGTGAAGGAGTTCACTGAAGCCAAAGACATGGACACGATTCTGAACTTCATGCGAGCAGCTGAGCCAGATGCACTCCCGGCTGGGAGTGTGCCCTCCTTTCAGGCAGGCCAACTTCTTCCAGGCGATGCTTTGTTTTTGCTCATGGGTGCAGTATATCTCGAGAAGGCGATAAACGCTAACAGCATCACCCTCAAAGCCACTTGGAGTTCGAAGGGGAAGGAGAGTAGACAGGGATCGAGTTTGTGTCATGGTCACCTCTTCTAACTGGGCACTGATTCTGAATCTAAGACTGACCTGACTCGACCTCTGAACTCCAGAGTGTTTTTAAATATGTTTTACTTTATAGTGTCAGGGACAGGTTCACTGACGTCAGCTTGAATATGGTTTTCACCGTCTCAGGTACCCTACCAGCCATTTGACTTTTTGTGCAAGTCCGACTTCCTTGCCTTGAAGACCTTGCTGGGGGAGCCTATCTTTGGCAAGCCATTTCTGCGGGTCATGAGCGCATACGTTGCAGGCTTGGCATTGGCGCTGCCAACTGGCGAGGTCGGTGATTTGGACAAGCATAAGGATGCTGATGAGGGCCTGAACTTGGCTGGGGCAAAGCCGAAGCTTGGTTGGAGATAGGGAACACGGCCTGGCGCACAGGTCCGGAATCATACACAGTACACAGTACAGTACAAACACTTCATTGTTCTGTTCCTTCCTTCCGAAATTCCGAAACATAGTCATTTCGATCTACTAGCCAAGCACGCAAAGCGGAGTTTAGCAGTGACCTTGGGACCCTGATGGCTAATCGCAAGTCTGTAGAACATGCAACGACGTGTGTCATATACAGATACACAGAGTGTTTGCTGGTTGATGGTCTTTGGAATAAATGTGAAGTTAAAGGCAATTTGTTTGGTTTGATTAGTCTGTGATTTTGTGTGCTTACCACGCTTTGTGCAAGGAGTCCGGTGGTGGTGAAGAAAGAACAAGCTCCAACAGACTCTTACCAAAGCCAGAAGAAGAGGGACATCCGCCAGGTGGAGGGTCAGAGTGGTGGGGAGAATGATGTGAAGGCTGCCAGGAGCTCAACAAACCCAGTGTCACTTCGCCCAGCTGCGCTCTCTGCTGAGAGTGTCAGCGAATTCACGGACGATGAGATTTTTGCCGCCATCACAGCAGAGCTGAACTTTCTTGACACCGATGGTTACTCGATCGGGGACGCGGAGATGGACTTGTTTGTGTCTGCAGCTCTGAGGCATTCCCTTATCCAAGACTATGTGCGTTGGGTCGATGATCCTGAGTGGAAGTTTGGGTATGATGATGCTTTGGAGGACCTGAAAGACTTTGTCGCGTGGCTGGAGTCCGAGGAGTCCCACATGGATCTACCTGAGACTGAGATGCCCAAGGAAATTCCACCTGACAAGGAGGCCCCAC